TCCCCAAACTTCTCAGATGTTCCCAAAACTTTTGTAAAATTCCCAAATTTCTATTAAATCCTTTCAACTACTATGAAGCTCTCTGAACATTTACGAGAAACATCTATAAATACATCCAAAGATATTTGAAACAGAGTTTCATTTGTGTTTCAACCCCGCTCAGAAATAAAACAAAATAGTCGAGTAGTTGCAAATCTGGTTCAAAATAGTGCTCGAATAAAGAAACTGCAACTCAGCATTGCGAGTTGTGCGTTTCTGTTCTAGTTTCAAATTGAAACGGTCCATATAAAATACAACAATATTGCGAACGGCCTCAGGATGTCTTTTGCGAAATGATAGCTATCAAATTCCCGGGAGTCAGGAAATGTTACTTTTGGTTAATTTATCAGGAGTAGTTTCTCGAGATGACCCGTGTGGGAAACACTAACTGGAAGCTAAACTGATGGTTCACTGCAACTCTGGTTATTCCATTTCATATTCCAATCGTAATGATAGTTGATGAATAAAAGGAAAATTATGCTTTATGACAATTGCAAATCTTACCATACAGAATTCGCTCGTTGGGGGCTCGTTAGTTGGGGTGCTCATTAATTGGGTGTTCGCTAGTTGGGCCATGACCCAATTAAAAAGCATCTGGATGTCAAAATCTCATGTCAAAGTAGATTTGACAATCAACCATAAATTCCTTCTATGGGTAAGCATATGTGTTTTGAACTGCGCATTCAATGTAATGCAACATTTGAGTTTCATTTGAAATTCCACAAGAAATTCAAATCACATATTAAGCACAACAGAATTTTGCTTTTTCCACTCAGTTTAAAGCAACTTGCTTCAATCCAAAAGGTTTTTTGTTAAATCTTTTTAACCGCAACAAAGGATACGCATGACCCCCCCAACAAATTTTAGCCTTCTGTCAGACCCAACTAACGAATCGAATTCGTTAGTTGGGCCGAGGTGGTGGCCCAACCATCGAATTTGAACCGTGCCAAAATCAAACAGGTACTGTATTACTGATTTTTCGAGCACAAATTGATGGGATCCTTAAGGGGGTATTCCCGATCTTTTTTTTCAAAAAATCAAATTTTTTTTTTCACGTTTTTTTGTACTTTAGACTATATACTTTCATCCCCCCAAGCCGTTTTCCGATCAGCGAATTCGGTGTCCAGGCATAGCTGACTAATGGTAAGAACCCCCAAATGGTTTTAACTAAAGTCAAAACTTTAAACGCGTTTTTCTCGAAACCACATTTTTTTTATCGGGCGAAGATTTTTCTCAGAAACTATAAGAGATATTGACTTGAATCTTTGCGCATTTTGTTCCTTATTAAATTCTTTGGAGCTTCTCCCACTTTCAGCCAAAAATATTAACATTTAAAATTGTTTGAAGACCTTAAAGCTGCAAAAAAGCGGGCTAAAAATCGCCTGTTTTTTCATATGGCCGCCATTTTGTTAATTTGCTAGATTTTTTGCTGCCAACGGGAGAAGCTCCAGAGAATCTTATGCAGGTTATAATTTCATCACGAAATCTTTTTCAGATGAAGCCGTTCCAGAGAAAAGTCTTCGCCCGTCCAGGCGTTTGCGGCGAACAGGGGTCTGTTTGCCGCCATTTTGTGACGTCAATAATGTCTTTTTTTGTGTCGAAAAAAATTTATTTGTAAACTTTAATGTTCAATAAACAAGAATCCCAAAGAGTTAGGCGCATTACTATTCATTTTCCTTGAAAAAAAAATAATTGAAAAACAGGCCGAAAAAAGGCAAAAGATTGGGAATACCCCCTTAAGCCAATTGTGTTATATGAGGGTAGTCGGAAAAACGCTCATGTGAGTGTTTATAAAGTTTATCGAAGAGGGTTGCCATCAACGGAAAATTTGGACCATATCTTTACGATCAATAAATTTCATTATTGTTAACTTTTTTATTGATTTGAAGTCGCTATTTGGTAACTATTTTCGTTATTTTAGTCGCTAAAGTCACTACTATTATATCACCTACCCACTACCAGCACTAACTATGGTCGAAAACGCAAAATTTCATGACAAAAATCGATACCTCAAAAACCATATACTCTACAGGTTTCACATCTTCGAGAGAGTGTGTTTACAGGAAAATATTTTGCTCATTTCAAATAACAGACTAAAGTGGTAATTTTTATACGATACAAGAGGAGATGAAAGTATAGAATTGATAGTTCCGTTAGAGTACGGCAGTGCGAAAATTGCATATAGAGAGTAGAAAGCGAGCAAGGACAACTTTAGGAAGGTACAAATCGGTTTGATCATCTCTCTTTACCAAACTCCCCCGTTGTAGAGGGATGATGAGGGGTAATCCCCCGCCGCCACTGGCAAAAAGGGATGATCGCCGACTCGCTAATGTACCGACGATGTGTTTGAAACAGTTCTATCGATTTTCTAACGGAACTATCAATTCCATACTTTCATCTCCTCATCTCTCGTATAAAAATTACCACTTTAGTCTATTATATGAAATTAGGATCTTCAACTATGTAAATCGTTGACTTCACGCAGAAGAAATACTAAACATATAGTCAAAGTATTTTTTTTTTAAAGTTTAAAGGAATACTTGCTTCTATAAAGTTATAGGTTATAGATTATCAAGAAATCAATATTCTATCTCATCGACATAGTATTCTACGAACATTTTTCAAAATTTAGTTAGGATGGTTCTTGTAAAACAGTTTTTTCGCTCTAACTTGTTTATTTCGATTTCATTTTGAGATCCATTTTCGAAAGACTTCAATACCATGAGAGGACGCATCCTAGATAGAATTTTGATTTCTTCAGCAAAGTTGCTTGTATTCCTAGTATTCCTCTTACCAATAAACGTTTGATCTTTTACATCAAAACCATCACATCTTTCGTAAAACGACATCTAGTATTTCTCAAAAATCTTCAAAATATGCGTCCTTTCATGCTCTTGAAGTCCGTTGAACATGGTTTTCGAAATTAAATCAAAATAAAAAAGTTAAAGCAAAACAACTAGGTTTCCGAACCACCCTAACTAAATTTCGAAAAATGTACAAAGAATGATATGTTGATGAAACAGAATTTTGATTTCTCGAGCAAAGTTGCTTGAAATTAAATTATCTATAACTTTGTAGAAGCAAGTATTCCTTTAAATTAAAAAAGAAAAGTTAAACAATTTAAATAAAACAAAAGAGAACTACCAACGCCAAAAGGAACTGTAGACAACCTTCTCTGAAGATGTTAAACCTTTAGAGTGCATAGTTTTCGGGATATCGGGTTTTGTCGTAAATTTTGCGATTTCTACTATAGTGGGGTGGGGGGAGATCGGTTTTCTGTATATATGAGTGGTATGACTGGTACCTTAGAGCCCCTTCTCGGAACGAGTGTATTGCTAATGGACCTGGTCTACGATTCATGGTTGGTTTCTGTGATCATAGGTATCACATAAAAGGTAAAATAAGTAGCACCATCTTTATCGAAAAGTAAATTTATATGAAAAGTAACAGGATCATTTGAACAGGCGCCTTCAATCTCGACGACATCTAATTATGCATGTCAACACTTTTGAGTCTCTTATCTCTTATCTTATCCTTCACCTATGCATCTACTCTTCTATGTTAAAAATCATCTTAGCCCTCATTTATTTTCGGTAGATTTCAATCGACTCGCATATTTCTGTAGACGTTATGCTTCTGATTATCTGATTATTGTAATTACTATATATAAAAAAATCGGGTTGAGGAGAGACCATCATGGTACCCAATTGAAGCGATTTGGATGGGTAGAGTGAAGATGTCAATTCCCTGTTGCTAACATTTCGTGGATAAAGGGCGAACTATTCTCCCCATTCATTGGGGCATCTTTCTGTTGGAAGGCTCGCTTTTTGACCCATTGGCTGATCAAGTTGTTGGAAGGAGATTCTTAACTATAGCAAGGAAATTATTAGGCGAATTTCCAATCAATCCATCCATTCGTTTTTGGCCGTTCATACAGCGATTTGCTGATGACAATCAGAGGTTATTACGCTTGATCAAGTTCAACAGTGCGAAGAGCCCACAGCTATCGGACTAGTTTCCGTGCTACAATGAGTAGTAGGCCACTATCATCATTATCATCATCATGAAAATAAAATGCGGTAGCTTTTTTTTCAGTGTCATAAATTGCTGAAATCAAACTTGCCGCTATTCCTATTTATGTGAAACCGGGAAAAGCCCAAGAATTTAATTCCTTAAATTCAGTGGACCCTGTATTTGCTACAAGAATACCTTCTCAAACATCCATTTGAAGATAGATTTACTTACAAAACGGATTAAAAATTAGAATATTTTGACGGATATACAAGTTCTCCTGATGCCAAAAACGGCAACTTGCTTGACTGGCATGCGACAGACGATTTAAAATCTATCGTTCCGAAAGCTACACATGAGACGATAATCTATTTAGAAAACAAACACAGCCTGAGTCACGTTTCGATTTCAATGACAAAAAAGCGACACCGGAATTATGAGACGACCGTGTTTAACCACACCATAAACGCACCATTTGAGTCTATCTTTGCAACTCAAATATTTTTCCAACGAATCGATTTCATTTGTCCGTCATCGCGAACAAACAAGCACCACGTGAATTCTTCTTCCAACCAAAACCCCGTGTTTCACCAATGTCCAAAAAAATCAACGCCCATCGCTCACGTCCGATTCAATTTTCCCATTTTTAGAAACCTACCTCCATAACGAGTCACACCAGCCCAAACCGATCTTTTCTTCTCGCGGGGGACACTTCCGCGTGTAAACAACGCACACACATCTACTCTCTTCGACTCCGGGAGCTGTAAACCAACACACTTTTCTTCTATTATGCATGCAGAATTCTGCCTTCTCGATATTAGAGCAGTAGGTAGATCTCAAGAATATTCACTTTATGTTCTGCTTTCGTCTCACTCACTCACTCACTCACCCATTCACCCTCAATTCAAATTCCCCCTCCCGAACAGCCACCCATTCTTCCGCGTACCTACGTGTAATTTACAAATTTGGTAATCCAACTCCCACGCGCTGTGTGGAGGCCGCTTCCCGCACGCTGACGGTTTTGCGCGGCGCACTGCTGTCATCGGCCACCGCGACGCCATTGCTGAAGTTGATGCTGGACCGGAGATGGCGATGCGAGTTACGCCTGTGCTCCGAAACGTCCCCACCCCCCGGGGTTCCCGGTGGGCTGAAGTTGAAATCGGTCGATTTGAAGCTCCGATCGTCCTCGAAGTCGTCGTAGCTTCCGGTGTATCGAGCCGAATAGTGATACTCGGATGAACCGCCCGGAGACGAGAGCTGCCTCCGGTGGCGATCACCGTTCGTCGGCACCGGACTGTACCGGGACGTGGCTAGCTCTCCCTGATCCGGAGTCTGTGGCGGATGGTAACCGTTGGTGCTTTTGGTTGGTGATGTGTCACCAGAATCGACCGTGTCGTAGAACTGGAAACTCGATTTCAGCGTGTTCTGACGGCGCGTTTTGGCCATCTCACTCACGTCGTCGCTTTGCTCGCGGAGAAATTTTTCTATTCTTAACTTTTCACGCTGCCGGTCCCGTTCGATCTGGGAGAACGAGGAATCACTTCCGTCGGAAAATGCGATATGCGATTGTGCGTTGTTGCGGTGGCGCTGTTTGAGAACTTCGGCCGATTCGTACTCACTGGCAGGGCTGGCGCGTTCCTGGGTGGGCGTTGTCGTCACCGACGATGCCGTCGATGGACGGCGGCTGGAAGTGCTGTAGGATTCCTCCGGATCCTGCATGTACTCATCGGGCCAGTAAAAGCTGGATTTCTGACGATCTGGCCTATCGGAGGCACGGTTGATCATGGCCTCGGTGAGGCCATGGAAAAATTTCTGTCCTGCCATCGTTTACGATACACTCATCCTTTGCTTTACAATAGAATATTTAAATTGAATGCAATCACTCTACGATTCCAGGCGTCTGGAGAATCAATGGACACCGTTCTTGTTTCCGAAAAGTTAAATAAATTGCACTCGTCGTGCGCGCACCACCACGTAGTCGTTACGATCCGAACCTTTCGACGCGAAACAGTTGAATAAGCGCCTGCCAGTGGAAAGTAACGTGGAGAACCTGTTGCTGCACCGACCGCCTGCCTGCCGCCACCGTCGCCGTCGTCGTTGAAGTCGGAGTCGGAGTCGGAGAAACAGAAGCAGAGGAGTCAAGCCAGCAGAGCGCGACGGTCGGTTGGCTTCGGTCGAGCAAAGCGAGGGGGTTGCGTGCAGTGCGGACAGATTGGTGCATTTTTGCATTATTATTTTAGTTATATTTTTTTTAGTTTGAACTTAAGCCACCAAATGTTTTTGATTACGCGGGATCGTCCCGCATTTGTGCAACTTAATCCGCACATTGAGCAGCGTTTCGCTTTCTACTGCGATCATCTTTTATGGTGATTACCATGGAAGTTTCATTTGGATATCAATCAGCAACATGTTAAAGATTTTAATTTATTTGGAATACCTTTGCAGGATTTTAGGACTGGTAGCAGTGGCTAAGTCACTATTTCTTCAAATTTAGTCACTAAAGTCACTTTTTTACGACCAATGTTGAGAGTAAAGAGTTTGACTTTTAAAAACTCTCATCAAATCACAGCTTGCAAGGTGACCAGTGAATAGGAAAATGGGGAGAATCGAAAAAAAATCTGTGTTAAACCCGTGAATTTTGACTACAAATCGGGGTCGCAAAAATTACTAAATCTTTTGTTTCAAAAAAAAAAAATTACATTTTGCGCTTTTTTTTCGAAAGATTTTTTTTTTCGAAGCAATATTGAGAAGATTCTAGAATGAATGTCAGAGATAACACCAAGGTATTGTGAAGAGGATCCCAGGATCCGTGAAAAATGCCAAGAGAATCGAATTTTGAGAGTACAATTTCAAAGGAATTTTGAGAATAATTTTAAGGGGATTCCGAGGATAATTCCAAGGCCATCACGAATCGAATTTTTAGGAAAATTTATTAATAAAGGGTGTCCACGATGAAATTGCCACACTATGAAATTGCTCTAACTTTTTAACCGTTGGGTAGAATTTAATGAAAATTTGGGTGGTATAGTTCATAGTGCATTATTTACATTCTGCAAGTTTTAAAGTCATGTGATCAAAACTCACGGAAATGGAGTCGAAAGAACAGCTCGTGCGTGATAAAATCTTGCGCATTCATCACGAGAACAAGGATCTCTCGCATCGTTACATCGCTAAAACGTTGGGAATCGCGAATTCCACGGTGTCGCGAGTGATTAAGCGGTTCGAGGAACGGTTGACCACCGATCGGAAGCCCAGAAGTGAAGGAAAAAGTATTCCGTACAACACCAAAAATCACAACCGCGTAGTTGGGGCCTTCAACCGAAATCCGAACGCCTCCGTTAGGGATGTGGCTAAGAAGCTGCACCTAAGCCGAAGTTTTGTCCAGAAGGCCAAAACTAAGGCTGGGATTCGAACGTTCAAGGTACAAAAGGCCCCTAATCGCGACGAGAAGCAGAACAAGTCCGCCAAAACCCGTGCCAGGAAGTTGTACCTCAACATGCTGACGAAAGTTGAATGCTGCATCATGGACGACGAAACATATGTGAAGGCCGACTTCAAACAGATCCCCGGCAACCTGTTTTTCACGGCCAAGGATAAGTTCAGCGTTCCGGAGCATGTCCGCACTCAGAAGATGTCCAAATTTGCGAAGAAATTCCTGGTTTGGCAAGCCATCTGCACGTGCGGGAAGCGGAGTGCACCTTTCGTGACCCAGGACACGATGAACGGACAGGTGTACATAAAAGAGTGCCTCCAGAAGCGGCTGCTTCCTCTCCTGAAGGCCCACAACGTCCCAACAATCTTCTGGCCGGATTCGGCCTCATGCCACTACTCCAAGGACGTGCTGAAGTGGTATGCGGACAATAAGGTCAATTTCGTGCCGAAAATGTTCAACCCTCCCAACACTCCGGAGCTCCGCCCCATCGAGAAGTACTGGGCGATTATGAAGCAGCACCTTCTTAAACGACCTAAGGTAGTGAAGACAGTCGAGGAACTGAAGAAAGTATGGGTTTACATGCAAAAAACGGTTGATTCACAGGTTGTGCAGAATCTTATGGCCGGGGTTAAGGCCAAGGTGCGGGCATTTGCGTATGGACTGTAAATAAAATACGAGTAAAATGGTAAAATAAAGTTTAATAGTTATTTCTCAATCCCTGAAAATTTGATGGCAATCGGATGAAAACTCGAATTTTGCGAATCAATTTTGTGTGTGGCAATTTCATCGTGGACACCCTTTAGAAGTTCTGAAAAATTCAGAGCTCTTTGAAGCAATTTTGAAAAATTCAACTGTTCCAAGAACTTTAGAAACATCCGAAACATTCAGAGAAGTTTAAAAAAATGTCAGCATTGTTCCAAGAACTACAGAAATGTCCAGAACTCTTTCCATGGTTGAAGATCTTTAGGCGTAAGTTCCGAAAATTTCAGGGCAGTTTCTTGAACTTCAGGAAAATGTCAGAAACTTGTCAAGAACTTCAGAAAACTTCAGGAGAGCTCATGGATTTTTAGGAAAAGTTCTGACAACTTCAGGACAGTTCAGAAAATATCGAAAAAATTGTGGGAATTTTCTGGGAATTTCCGAAAACGAATGTTGCTGCAATTTTTGACGGAGGATTACGTCTTTCGGCAACATATTGACCGCGTTATGTAAAGTGGTCAGATTTTGACCACTTATAACTCTGTCAATAGCGTATGGATTTTAATTCTTAACATGTCAATCAATTGGAAATTTTTGTAAAAATCTGCTAAAATGAACACTCTCATTTTTCAATAGGTCACTATTGAAAATTACACAAATTACCAACTGTTGCAATGGTGATCAAAATTGGTGGTGTCCGGTCGGTCGCCTTCAGCAGCAGCAGTGCTTTCGGCGCGTGGCATTAAACATTGTTCTCCAATACACAACAAAAAGCTGCAGCCCACATGAGCGTCCATTCACCGAAGAAGGAGGAAGAAGTCGCACTGCTACTGATCAGATTCAGTAGCTCTTCGTGAGTCGCTGTGAGCCATCTATGCCAAGCGCGTCACCCTCGTTCCAAACAACATACAGCTCGCCAGTCTCATATGTGTTAAACACCCTAATAGCTCAGGATTACTCAACCATCACGACAAAACGGTCGTTTTCAGGATCACCATAAATTTGTTAAAGAGTATTTTGTGGACACTTGTCAAGGACATCAATCGGATGTCAGTTCCCATAAATTTAAAAATTTAAATCTAACATGTCATGTATTTTCAATACATAATTGGGGGTGCAATTTCAAAAAACCAAAGTCGGTCGCGGCATGAAAGTGGTCTGATTTTGATCCAGGATTTTAATTCTTAATACGCCAGTCGGTAGGAAATATTTTTACGAATCTTTTAAAATTATTATTATTATTATTTAGCTTTATTAAGGAGGCTTTCAACCTTGGGGTGGTTCGCCTCCAAAAAATCTTTTAAAATCAATACTTTAACAATTTACAAAAGGTCACTACTTCACGAATGTGCAACTGTTGCTATGATAGTTAAAATTATCACCGATTGCCTGTGGAAAGTTCTTTCTCAAACACAGATTTCAAAATCGAATTCCTTCCGGTCTCGCCGAACGGTGTTTATTCAAATACCGCGTGAGTGGTGGTGTCTGGTCGTCATCATCATCAGCAGCAGCAACAACAGTGCTTTCGGTGCGTGGCGTTGTACATTTTTGTCCAGTACACAACGAAAGGCTCTCCGCAAGCAGCTATCTAACAAGGTTGCCCTCAAGAGCCCTCGATTTACCGAAGAAGAAGGAAGAAGCCGTACCGCTACTGATCGGATTCAGTTGCTCGTCGTGCGCCGCTGTGGGCCATCTATGTCAAGCGCATCACCCTCGTTCCAAACAAAATACAGCTCGTGAGCCTCATCCGTGTTGAACACCCAAATAGCTCAGCATTACTCAATCATCACGACAAAACGGTTCTTTTCAGGACCACCATAAATTATTGTTGTTAAAGAGTTAATTTTTTTCGAACGTTCGCTCGCCTTGCTGCCAGCCACATCACCCCCAAGCTCTTTGATAATGTACCCAGCAACCAAACGTTTGTGATCAAATGCGTAACAGTTTTGAAGTGGTACATAAATATTCTCACAATGACCGAATACCACAGAAATTATGGTAGGGTTTTCTCCAGGACGCTAGAAAGAATAAAAAAAAATCTCGAATTTATATGATTGATCGCGAATACCTCGCGATTGGATTATTTTAGCAAGAAATTCCTCCAATCAATTTTCGATTTGTTTTATTATCTGTAGAAAAACCAAAAATTCCGTGCGTTTTGTGCACGAAAATGCGCAATTTTATCATCAGAAAACGAGGCGTTTGCGTGATGGGAAAAAAGTGGTTTCCCTAACACAGTCGCCGAATATTGATACCGAGCACGTCAAATCTGCGGTCTTACTTTTTCGACCGATTAACTTCTGAAAAAAAAAAATGCAGGAACTCTACAGATGTTCCAAGGTTAAATACCAAAAAACTTCAAAGAAATTGTGGGCCCATGAACATCGGGAAACTTGCGGTAACTTTAATGATGTGCCAAGAACTTTGAGTAAATTTAGAAAAAAAAAACTACAAGAGACAGCCCTATGGAGTTGTATGTAAGGGTGACGTAGGACTACGTGCACACTTAGAAATACTTAATCTTACACGTGACGGAATCCATTTTTGACATAAAGGGTGAGACGTAAACAAACATGTCGTGTAAAACTAAGTGCTTCGAGACTTAAAAAGTTCGAAAGTACGTTTGATTGAGCTGAATTTCGCGTCTATTATGACTCAGTTTTATGTCAAAATTGACGCTCGTATATGTCAGTTTCAGAGCACCTAAATTTACATCAATTTTTCTATGTGTGTGGTCTTATATAATAAATCTTATTTGTTAACTGCAGCAGGAGCTTGTGTTTTGTGTAGAAATAGGAATTTGAGCGGGGTTCTCTCTGTTTATACTCTTTAGTATGACGCGCTTGACATAGATGGCCCACAGCAACTCACGAAGAGCTACTGATTCCGATCAATAGCGGTGCGGCTTCATCCTCCTTCTATGGATGCTCATG